AATTAAATATAACCACTTTCAATGGTTATTATAAAAATCAGAGTGTTACAATTCAGGTCAATAATATCTGTTGAATAAAACATCATATTTTATTATATGAGTGAATATGGTCAGTTATTTTATAGAACGCGCCAGTAAAACCCCAACTGGGAAGTCACGTGGTTTGCCTGGACACGTGTGAACTATAACCATCTCTTTCATGTGCTGCTTTCCCATCGTCTGACTCTACGTCTTATATGATTTCACACATTGCTACAGTCAATATATGTAAGAAATCATCTGATTTGGTCAGGGGCGTATGATAAAGTCATCCGTGGAGTGAGAACTCTTGTACACAATTTATGTTTGGTTCAATTTTCAGAGCACTGTGTTACAAAATCACAAGAGAAACATTATGTAGAAAACAAAGAATTAATGGAACGTTCACATTAACTAGTTTCAATATAGTAATCATCAAAAATTAGGACAATAGATGTAAGTAGATAACAAACTTGTCATTTAATTGATTTAAACACATTTTATTAAATTACACGGAGAGAGAGAGAGAGAGAGAGAGAGAGAGAGAGAGAGAGAGAGAGAGAGAGAGAGAGAGAGAGAGAGAGAGAGAGAGAGAGAGAGAGAGAGAGAGAGAGAGAGAGATTGGGAGGGACAAAGACGGAGAGAGAGAGGGGTGATGGAAGGAGAGAGATATCGAATTTAGGCAGTCTTATAAACACAATATTTACCACTTCATGGTATTTCCACAATATTACCATAACAACTGTAGTTGCGCAATATCACTTCATAACTCCCAACTGGCGTATGAATTTAACAGTAACGGAAACGAATTGAGGTTGCCTCCCATTGTACAGTTAAAGTACAAAATCACAACGTAGCACTCATCTCAAACAGCCAAGTGAATGTCAACACAAATAACATAAATGTCGACACCAGGTTTCTTCACCAGTTCTTCGTTGAACACTGTGTTTTAAACTTCCACAGCTAGTTAACATGTGGAAGGCTTAGACTTGGGCTACCTCCGTTGTAACGTTACACAATAGCAGAGTGCACTTTTCCACGACTTTGACAAAATTATAAGATTGTAATATTACCTTTTGTAGATGACAATTGAATTAAACATTGAAATATGTATTATCCGTTTATTCACGTGTATTAAACTTTGTTAGTACATTGAATATTTTTTATGTGTATTTTTTATCCTGCGCACTACTTCTTTACGCAGAAGCACACGGTGAATCTGCTAACAGGTCTCTAGACAATTATGGAGAGAAATTTTGATTTTTTTTATAAATTAAGTGTACTTGGATCATAAATCACAAGTGATAAATATAAGCATTGAACTGCTTTCAATTGGCATTCATAAGCCTATAAATGCCAATTGAAAGCAGTTCAATGCTTAAATGGCCACCGTTCATTTCACTTCCTTAAAGGAAAAACTTCAATATGGGGCAGGAAATTGGAAGATAAGGCGAAACCAGGAATAAGTGGGAGAAAATCATAATATATCTTAACTGCTAAATTATAGAAGGGAATGTCATTAAAAAAGATGTTGCCACTGGTTAACTTTATAAAGAATTTCTGCATTGACAAAATGGGTCGCCAATTATGCTTTATTTTCCTCTATTACGGGAAGTCGGGAAGCCGTGAATTCGGAACTGAAAATATCTATTATCTGTAAAGGAATATTATCCTGATAACTAAGATTGATGTTTTTTTAAATCCTGGAGCATATTACATAACAAAACAATTGGTAGAAAGGTGTTAATGTTGATCACTATTGTTGGCTCAGAAGGGGAGCACACGAGAGGTCTTACTGTGGGAGGAAACCGGAGAGCCGGAGGAAACTGGTCGGGCAGATAACCCCATGCCTGTTCACGTTCATTCTGGGAACTGAATCCCGGACGGCTTAGTGAAAGGCGAGTCCGTTACCACTGCCCCACCAACAAAACATGGTATGGTTGACGAATTTGTTTTCTTTCTGAAATATTCAATCTACTATTTGGTTTCATTGTCCCAATGGTTTTTATTTTGCGTGGAAACTTTTTAGTTTATCCGCATTATATTCTACATCATCTATGGTACTCTCTACGAAACGAATTCGAATAAGTCTAACGTGATGGTCTTCTTGGAAATATTAAATATAGGACCTTGGATTAGTGAATGTTTTGCTATTTTTACCCAGTGTGACATAAAGTTTTGAAGTTCGCATGGAGATTTTATTCGGTTTCTTATTCGTGCACCAATCGTGTTTGAAAGCTGGAAAGCTTCATCAGTATTGTTCTCAGAGGGTAAAGTATAAATATTCAACAAAAATGAGACGTCATGAATCACACTATGCGATTTCTTTATAAAATGTGAATATATACTGACACCTCATATATCCTTTGTTATCCTCTAAGTTACCTTTTTAATAAATTCATTAACACTAGCGAACTTCCTACTGAATGGAAAATGGCTAATGTTACCCCAGTTTACGAAACAGATAACAAGTCTATACTAACCAATTATAGGCCCATCTCTCTTTTATCAACAGAAGAAAAATTAATAGAACGATATGTTTTAAATATGCGTATGACTTCATGCTTACCCATTCATTATTATCATCTTTCCAGTCCGGTGTTAGGCATGGCAACTCACAAACCGACAAACTTCATATCTATCGTTATTGATAATTATTCTCCACTTGATCAAGGCAAGGAAATACGAATGGTCTTTGCGACATTAGCAAAGCATTCAATCATGTTTGGCACAAAAGTCTTCTGTGTAAATTATCCAATTTTGGAATTCGTGGTCCACTTCTTTTGTGGTTCGAGCACTATCTTCTCAACAGGTAACAAATAGTTGTTATTAATGGTACACATTCTAACTGGTCTTGTATGAAAGCCGATGGGCCACAAGGCTCTATTCTTGGACCTCTTCTTTTTCTTATATTTATAAATGATATTGTGGAAAACATCAACTCCATTGTTAAATCATTTGCAGACGACGCATCGCTGTATGTCATTATTGATATACTATGATAAGTGTAGATATTTTAAACCATGATCTCCAAAATGTCCATGAATGGTCATAAGATTGGTAAGTGGATCCTACTGAAACAGTTTACTTCGAAAATGTGAGCATTATTCATTGCTAATGATGGATGGTTAGGAGTGACAGTTTTCCAGCTTATTAAAAATGCTCCAAACCATCCATCACTAGCAATGAATAATACTCACATTTCCGAAGTAACATTTCACAAACACTTTGGCGTATTTCTTTTTAATAATGGGAGTTGGAATATTCACAATAACTACTTACGAACAAAGGTTTCGCCATATTTTACGGAAATATAAGTTAAATTTAGACCTCTCTTGCCTTCAAACCTTGTATTTATCTCTAATTCGGCCATTTTTAGAATACGGAAACATTATCTGGGACAGTCTCACCCAAACACAATCCGATCTTCTGGAAAATATTCAGTTAGAAGCTGCAGGCATTGACACTGGTGCAACAAGACTAACACGTAGATCCAAAATTTATGCAGAAACTGGCTGGCTTCCACTTAACCGAAGACGCACACATCACAAGACAATTCAATTGCACAAAATGGTTCATGGATTAATACCCAAATACCTCCAATATCTGCTTCCTGCACGTAACAATTTGTCAGGCAAAACACTCCCACTGTCAATTACTTCCATTCTATCTACTGTCATTCAAGCTTATATAAAAAGTCTGTCTTGGTCCATGGAATATGCTGCCAAATCGTTTAAAATGTGGTCCATCAATACGTAGACTCAAAAAACATCTAAACCAGCCTAACATTAGGATGCCACCTTTTATTATACTGTTAGCAGAATGGGTCAGATTCTCCACGCCAGAATTGAATATAGTTTATATCATATACTGAGGAGAAAAATAGTATAACAATATGTAGACAAAATATTAACAAAAAATATTAAAGAAAAAGGAAATTTCAATGTTACTTGATTGTTTTATCTAATGTGGTTCCTATTAATTACTCGCATAGTTCACATAACTTTTCAGTCTATCACGGATAATTTAAAACTGCTTTCTCACCTCACTGTTTATAATAATAAATGTTATTTAAATGGCCCCATGCCAAATTTTAATTCATTCGAATAGTGGCATCGTTCAGCATATACATACATGTATGTACTCGAAGCTGTTCTAAAATTTTCTATATTAATATTACAAAATTGAATAAATTAGGTGTCTAGTGCACCTCCCCATCTATATTTTGATTCCTCAGTGAGTTCTTGAAGGACGAAACAGCCGGATGATGCAGTTTAATTCATTGTTTGGCTCTACTGTATATAATTCTACAACTGTACAAAAGACAGAATAGCACATTTCAGATCAACATCAGATTTAAATACACTAAAGCTTCGTTCTACACGGTTATGGCAGTCACTGCTGTTCGAGAATACAGCATACTTCAAAGCTAGACATGGTTCAGAGTTGGGCTGCCCTTTCCGTCACCAACCGCTGCTTGGTTGGGGAAGCAGGGTTTTAAATCCTTACGACGGATCACCTCGATGTTGCATTTTTTTACTTCGAAAACATTGTGGAAACGAAATTCGTATTATTATCTGGTCAAAACATTGACCCGTGAGACCATCGCCAACTGCAAAGCATATTTCATATAAATGCAGAGCGCTTGATTTAGAGTGGTCAGAAACAGCAAAGTATTTATTGAAAACATTTTTAAAGAAGTTCAGGCCAGGAAAACTTGGTTTACTTGTAATGAATCTCTCTACAGGTTGTTTATCTACAACAAAATAACATCCATGAACCTCATATAAAGCTTTTTATTGTCTAATGCAAATCCTACTGCTTGGAAACCTACATGTACACAATTTATTCAGATATACATATCGACATGACGTTTTAAAGACACAAATCTTTGACACGTTATTTGCTGGTTATTCCGAGTTCCGACTTCAATAGCACATTTTTTTGCCTATGAAAGTTGACCTAGACGGCTAATCAATATTTCATTTTCCAACAAAAAAATAATATGATTTGAAGTCTTGGAATTGTGCATCAACTGGTGTTCCTTGAATTTGATCGGATGCTATGATCTCGTACCCTGATTCCTTCATAGCCTTATCGACCTGCTCCTTTGTGATATTCATAGTAGGGTATGCGAATTCTCCAACTTGATAAGTATCTCCCTCCAAACAGACACCTATAATAAGATAGCCACCCTTCTTTAGAAGACGGGATACATTCTCGATACATCTTTTATACCCAGGAACGTCAGTCACTGCTGCTTCGAAACAGTAACTCGTAATTATGACATCAAAAAGTTCACCGTCATAGTCTCTTCCTAGTGGCTGTTCTGAAGTGATATCTATGTGAAGAATTCCTTTAACTTTTTGTCGTATTTCGTTTTCTTTTTCTTCAGCAGTCACCCTGAATTGAGAAGAAATTTTAGCATAATAATCAGCCTAACACGTCATCAAAACATGTATAGTATAACACACTTGAATGATTTTATTTGTCAATGTCTACGATTATGTTTGAAACGGAACAACAATTAAGCACAGCAGAAAACATCGAAAATGTAACCTAGCGAGATTTTATTCTCTTACGCTAAGGTACCAAAATTCTGTAATCAAATCCAGAGGAGACGTAAGCCGCTGTTGATATGTTAAGAAAAAGAATCTTATCTGAGAGTAAAAGGACCTGTTCACGTCTAGTCACGGCCCGGATATACGGTGAAACCTCATTATCTCAAAATCTTATAACTCGAAGACCTGTTTAATTCGAAGTATTCCATCGGTTCCAAACTTCACACTAAACATTTAAACTAACTTATATCGAATATTAAGTTAAGTTTTATAAACCACCGTGCCGCCGAATTCGAGATAACAAGGTTCGACTGTATAAATAGCCCTGCTTTGGGAAAAACAAAACACTTAAATTTAGGTTAAACTGTGGATGTCGCTGTCTGAGCGAGAGTAACAGGTTACTCTAGGTTAATGGAATGACTGAGTATTTCAAAAGGATTATAGATTGAAGAAGGTATGAAATGGACAATAACATTTCTTTATCAACTTCATTTTAGCAATTACCACGGAATGGCGAACCTTATAAACGAACAAATACCTTGAAAACTGTGATACCATTTTGTAGGTATCATGTTTAACATGTAATAAATTAACGCTAAAACTCACAGGTAGATTATTCCAAATAACAATTCATTGTATAAACGTGATAGCGCTTTACGCTAGGACAGAAAAGACAGCAATTGTCGGTTTATTTTCCTGTAATAACTGTTCGTTGACTGATCAAAAAAATTGGATTCACCAAAAACCTATACCTTTGAAGTTGTATGCAGCGTTAAACTCAACTGAATTCCACAAAAATTAAAACAAAGATGTGAAGCATTTCTCCTGGTTTTGAAAAGCTTAATATATGCTCACGTGCGACCCTCCAGACTTGTGACAAAGTCAACCATCATCTTCGGATGGGATGTCTTTCCATTTAGCCAGTTTTCCAAATATTGGCGATTCTGCGGTGTGTAATCGGACAAGATAATCTCGTCCACGTGATTACTAGCGGAGAGCAAGGTGTGTATAGAAGGGCCAGTTCCCACATCCAGGAGGCGCTTACCACGGATATTGTCTGCAAGAAAACACGAAGACTAACTTACGAAGAATTAAAATATAATATGACATCCGCAATACGGATGATATTCCAAATATGAAAAAAGTCAGTTAACTGAAACCATAATTACGAGAGCCACGCTGACAATATTTCACGATATCAACGAGGATATTGTGTATTTCAAACCTCGATTGTTTTGATTAAAGCATTGTGCTGAACTAAATAGACAACAATAAACAGGATGCCGACTGGGTCTGTACTATAGCATACCGTATAACTAGCTATTTTTCAAAAGTTTCGCGGCACATCAACGTGACATAATATACCGCGGAATAATGACACACGTGTGTATTCAATGTCGTTTTAAAGTCAGACAGCAATCTTTTAAAATTCGATCGTTTTAAAAGGAAATCGCAAAACTTTCGGCTAGCTATACAGTATATTTCTACGTCTTCAGATTCATTAAAAAACACATCCTTGTGTATTTTATGTTTTTGTTAGCCGTCTTGTGAGAGTGCGGAACTGGTGACTTTGTAAGAAGGCTATTGCTATTGCATAAGACTGCTTATTTGTCAAATGGAAACCGAGTATAGGTCATGCACTTGAAAAAAGAGGATTAAATCATATGGCATGTTTTATAACTATGATACTGAAAGTAAATATAAAGTAATCAGTTAAATAATTATTCCAAGCAGATTGTTCCTGACAATTTATCCCTGCAATCCGCCTTTTAGTTAATCTGGTATTGAAATTAGAAGTCGTACTTTGGGTGAAGAATTGGTGGTAGATTGTGAGGTCAGTTCTCATATTGATGGATGCCTCTTCTGTTCCTACATAGTTTGTAAGGTACCACTCGGGATCAAATTTAGCATAGTCGTCAGTTGGCTGTAGTTTCTCCATCTCGGAATATCTTTTATCTGTAAGGAAGGTACATTCAAATGGGTGTTACATTATAAACTACATCGAGATAAGTTCAGTGTGTGATGTAAGTCGAATTCATTTCTTCGTCATCTTTGCTCAACAATTTGAATATCTCTTCTCCTGCACGCTAACTATAACAATGATAACTACTTGAATGTAATGTAGAGCCACAATTCAAAGTAACACACCCATTTGATGTGTCACTCCAGTTACTGTAGTTGTTGCGCTTTTTTGAGGATCGGAGAACGTTTGAAGAATAAATACAAAGAAACTGAAGTAAATAATGCGTTGGTCCTTTTTATGATATCTATAAAAATGAGTTTGAACCACTCGTTTTCAGCTTATCTACATCACAAATTATCAAGTTATCTTATTTGTATACCAAATACTCGTTAATGTAGTCTTTAGATTAACCAGCATTTCAATAAAATAACATCTTGTACATTGTGTGAACCGGTTTAAGAGAAATTGTCGGTCTATCATTTTGATAGCAGGGTTTATCGCTCTTTGAATAGCCAATGTCATGTATAGGCAATGTTTCCTTAGCGCAGCTGGTGGCTAAAACATACTCATGTCATCCAGACCTATCCCCAATGTTCCAGAAAATGATATAGTATGCATACACATTTAAGTTGCAGATACAATGTATTAATATTTTTTTCTAATAATGAAAATGTTAACCTTTCCCTCTTTTGAATGCCATTCATTAGCCCTACAATGAATATAGTCAATGTAAACTATGTATTTATGAAATCATTAAAAATCCAATTTACGGGAAATTCGAACGATGGCATATATCTAAGCATATTATACAAATCTTAACATACATTGTTCACATTAAAATCTCTCTACACATACGTGGAGTCCTGTTTTGTCCTAAAGAGTCCATATCTCATATTCTCATCACTATCAGTGTATAATGATAATTTGATACCTTGTCTGGAAAGTAGTATTCCAATGACAGACTAATCCCCAACTCGTGTCTGATAATGCAATCTAATCGCCGAGAAATGTTTTTTCCCTATGATAACGCAATATGTCCAATTCGCAAGAATTGCTCACCTGTTCTGCAGTTAAAATAAGAGACTTTGTCAGTTCAGCCAATTTCTGCAAACCTTTAAGCCCAAGAGAGGGACCTTCCCAAATGATAACGGGATCTCCTGTATACGTGTGTAATTAAGCATTGTATTATGAGGCTTGGAAAACCTCTCCGATCGTCAGAAACCAAAATAAAACTTGTTTTTATAAAATGATCTTTTAAACCGAAATCTACCACAGACTGTTGTAGAAAATGCTCTTCGAAATAACAATAGCTATAAAGTCTTCTTTCATGCCATCCATGATTAACTGTCGGAATACATTAGATAATACACTATAGTCTCTAAGTCCTTTTACAAATCCTTATCTGACATGCATATTACTCCTCCTATGTATTGCGGACGAAAAAACAAAATATTCTGTACAAAAAAACTTGGACATCAATATAGTTCTCTTAATTATGATCCCTTCAAAGTTAACCTTATCAATAACGCGGCCTGTAGTTGTGGTAATACGTGAGAGAATGCCGTTCACCATTTTGTAGAATGTCATTATTTTCGAAATGAGACACATTCTAATACAACAATTTAAGTAGTTATATGTGGTACTGAATTTAGAAACCATTTTGTTCAGAATTCAACCCTTGGAGCATAACATAGATATATTTAAGTACGTGCATACTTTCATAAAATCCAGCAAAATATTTTGATGATGTTTACAATAAATCAACCTTATCTGATATCTTTGTTATTAATTATATGACCATAAAGTAATTCATACTTATATTCATTATTGTAATACATATGAATTGTTTATCTGTCAGGAAATGGATTGTTATAACTTGTGTCTGATCTTATTATGTCTTCACATGACATTAAAATATGTTTGAATTAATATGGACAAAGTCAAGATTATTACTTAATTCTCAAGGAAAAGATCGTTCAGACCTCATTTAAATGAGGAACAACAGAGGTTACACTTTCTCATTAAAGTATACTTTGTCTTTGGTTGAATGAATTGATGGGCATGAAATATACAGCAAATAGACAAGCTTTATATACCACTACAGTCAATGCTGCAGGAGGTTTGTAGTTTAAGGTTTGTGAAAAAAGTATTGTTGCCGGTATTATTCTGTTGATCAACTATCCAGGTAACCAATATTCAGAACAAAATCGTACTAGTTTGTATTTCCTAGGTGTAAGCAAAATGCTATATAAGTCGCTCTCCATGTCTCAATTTATTCGATGTTCCCAATATTACAATTTTTCCTGACATCGGCTTATGTCGCGTGAATATTTTGTTAACCTTGTTACAGCCAGGTGTTACACGGGGACATCTTTATTTACATTTTATATATACATTTATTATTGTTTACTTCAAATCGATAAATATAATTATACCATACGTTTATAACATCGTGATGTGAATCAAATTGGAATTGATGTTAAAACGATAAGGTGCTTACTACTTTATATATTGCAAATGATATGTTACTTTACTAGTCCCGTCATTTACATTTGAATGTTAATTTTTTGAAGTCTAATGACCGATTAATTTTACATCAGATCGTTGTAATCACTATAATTTATCTACATTGTGGACATTTGATCATTCGTCACTATTCCTCTGTACAGTTTTGTTTAACGCTTACTGCACCTGCAACATCTAACGTCAAATAGATTTTATTTGAAATGTAATTTATGTACGAGGGTGTGTGTTGCCGATGATTACAAGATATTTTGTTGATAAGATCAATGTAATTAATAAAACTTAAAAGAAAAAACGTGTCACTGATTATCTTGTTATCTCAAACATAGATTATAAAAACTTGACATGGTATTTGTTAGTAGTCCCGGTAAGCTAACCGATAAATAAGTCTTTCTACGTCATTAAAAAAAAAAATCTTAAGGGAAATGGCAATTTGTTTATCTTGCCAAAGACATCACGATCATTAACTCGCTCCTTTCAGTATGTTTTATCTCAGCTTTTGTCACGTTTTCGAAGTCCTGCGTTCTGTCTTCCTGATATGATTTCCCTGGTTTAAACAGCTAGTCAAGTGTTCGCACAAACGTTGTTTTCCGTGTTTCAATGTTCTTGTAACTATAGTATAGCTTCACCATGTCTGTATATTTCATTGATGCTTTCAAAAAAACCTCATTTTATCGAAAGAATAATCAAGTAGAACATGTGTTTCCTTTTCTCAATCGACTATAATTCTAAAACATCATAATGGAAAACAATTAGATAAATATCACCTTCACAAAAGAGTAAAATATTCTGCTTGGTTTGGTTGCAACTGTGCGAAATCAAGTCAGTAGCAGAGTCGACGGAGTCAAAACCAAGAAATTTTATAATATTTCACAATGTTTTGCTCTGGTCAGGTACGTGTATGTCTACTCTCAAAAAATATCGAAACGATGTAATGGAGTTTAACGCCCTCGATCAGAAGACGGATATCAAGAGGGATAACAAGTGCGGAAAATAAAGCAGAGAAAGTAAAAACAGGATGACACTGAGATTGAAGAATGGTAAAAAGATTGGCTTGTGGCTTTCAATTCGCAAGACAAAAATGGGAACAGTGAATGTTTCTTACTCGCAGCTATTGATATACCAACGATCGGAGTTAACTGAAGAGTTAATATCCTGGTTCATTATTCATACCTCTGTTATGATATCCCGGTAAATATTATTATAATCCTTGGTTTCCACATTGCTAATTAAGTATTCATGTTCGAAAGCTATCTCATTGTCAGCTCAACGTAGTATAAATTCGTGACCAACAGATGCTGACCTTCACACAGCGCGATCTACTTCGTGTGTCAAGTGCATGCATTTATCTGTGAAACATAATACTCAACACGAGATATAGCCTAAATCATGGGAAAATGACGCGGTCGACGATCTTTAAGTAGGACAACTTGACAGAGATTGTGATATATCATTGTCTCGCGTGCTTACTTTTTCACCAGCTACGCCTGTGTATGAGCAATACGCCTAACTATGATATGCAAGAGTTAGATTTGAATATTGGATCATCCGTCTTTCAATTTTCGGAGATTTTAAACAAATGCACTCAAAGTTGAAATAACGGCAGTTGTCAGATCGATTCCTAATATCGTGTGTGCCCTCCCTAATCAGATGTAGCGTCTATAATTCTACGTGACATAAGTACATAAGGGCACTGACTGTCCGTAGAGGAATGCTTTTCTATTTCGCATTAAGTGCTATGGCCATTAGGCGGAAGTTGTTGGGGATGTTTGGTGATGATTCCGAACTCTTCTAATTCATCCCACAAGTATTAGATTGAGGCAAAATCGGGGATATATGGAGGTCAGTCAATTGGGACGATGTTCTTGGTTGAAGAAAGTCCCTTTAAACTCTTGCAATGTGTGGTCCAGCGTTATCATGCTGAAAGCGTACAGATGTTAAATTTCCGTTAATGATAACTAAAGATGTCTTTACACAATGAAAAATTCCATCCCATAATATGACGTGAACCAAAACAAAAGAGTCTGCAAGACGCTGGTACACATTTGGACGACCATCTGTTAATTCTGTTACTGAACATGTTGATGATAAATATCTTTGTTATTTTATGTGTGAGATATGATATATGACCTGAATAACAATTAAACACTTTCACAGAAGATGACTATCAACAGTCAAATTTGAAATTATCAATACATTTTCCATCCAATAAATGAAATTCACTGAAACAATTTTAAGTTTCAAATCAAGAGATTGGCATTGGCAATGGATACCGAACGTAGAACAACACTTTACAACAGATCGTCAAGGGTTCGAAATAACGTCAATCGAGAGCGCCATCCATGAAGAACATGAATCTCCAACATCTCATAGGAAACGTCTTGGTACGAGTTTCTTCAAACATCGCTTACGACTTGCTCGACGTTGAGATGTCAGTCGCAAACCATCGTATT